GGCGAACTGGGCAGCGTCAACGCTGCCACAGCGTCGACGGCGACTTCACGGTGGAGGCAGCGATGGGTGAAAGACGGTGGTGGCGGCGTGAGGAGGAGAAGAACAGAGAGGGAATGAACGTGGGTGAAGAAAATGAATTTGGGAAATTAGGTTTGAATAGGTTGGGGACGGTGATTTCAAATCGGGTTGTTTTTTAGTTTTATATAATATTAATTAAAATCCTATTTATCACCTGAATTTTGAAATCTAAACTTTACCACCTTATTTTTGAAATGTAATTTTGAAAAAAAGGGTTTCAGGTAATTTTCTCTTAAAACAAACAGGGAGATTTTTGAACCCTTCAAGATTTTTAAACCCTTTCTTCTCTTAAACCCTTCAATATTTTGGAGGCCCTAAGCCCAAGCCAAAATTTTGAGGCCCTAGGCCCTTGCCTAGGTGGCTTGGTCCCAGGGCCGGCCCTGGAAATAAAAATAAAAATTGTTAAAGTATATAAGTGTATCAATAGGTGTATGCATGAAAGCATGTTGTTTGAAGCACTTGAGATGGAAGTAAAATGCAACTAATACTTTAGTTCATTTTTTGAAGTAATGTCTTTGATCGAGTCTATAACCACGATATTCTTTCACCACAAGTGATGGTTTATTAATAAAATTTGGAGGTCCCGCCCTCCTTTATTTAAAAGAAAGAAAGAAAAAAAACCCTTCTAACAACCATTGTTACGATGTTGTTCACAATTGCGAGCTCATTCAAAATGTTTTGTAAAATGAAAAAAATTGACAGAATTCTGGAAAGGTTAAATGTCCCAGCAGCGCCTATCCTTGTGGTAGTGCCTAAGATGGTTAGTTGGAAGATTCCACGAAATGGCACTATGAAGTTGAACGTTGATGGGGGCTCACGGGGGAATCCAGGTACTGCAGGGGGAGGCGGAGTGATTCGAGATAGCAGAGGTAAACTGGTGTCAGGTTATGCTCTAATGATACCGCACCGTTGGTTGTGCTTTGCCGAATCTTGTGCGCTTAGGGACGGGTTGACTATGTGTAAGGAACGTGGATGGGTGGATTTGATGGTAGAATCAGATTCTACGCTAATGGTAAAATGGGCACAAGCTGGAAGATGCACTTTATGGTATTTGTGGAATTTATGGGAGGATATCTATGCCTTGATGGAAGCCACTCGTGCCAAGATAACACATATCTACAGAGAAGGAAATAAGGCAGCAGATTACTTGGCAAAAATTGGAGCTATTGGTAAATCTTTCACCGTTCAAGAAGGAGACAATATCCCTCCTGGCCTTAGGGAAATTTTAAGGACCGACTCTTGGAATCTACCGAATATTAGATGTAAATGATTTATCTCTTTATTTGTATTACGGTATTCCTCCGCCACAAGTGAGGATATCTTAATAAAAAAGTCCCAGGGGATTTCTAAAAAAAAAAACATGATTTTTTATTTTCTGGAAAGTGTGGGGCGTACATGCTAATGGTGCATTTGATTTGTTGTTTTCAAGTCGTTTTCAATTTTCAATTTTGCAAAATAGTGAAAACATGTTTGGTATAGTAACTCTAAAAATACATTTTCAAAAACAAGGAAAAATTTGTAATATAAAACTCAAAATGCATTTTTGATGTTTTGAGAATTTTCGGTGAGAATTCTAAAAACACTTAAGACATGGAAAACGAGCGTTTAAATAAAATTTATTTAAAAAATTTTTAAAAAAATTAAAAAATATAAGTATAAAATTCTATCAAAATAAAATTTTAGAAAAATAAAATTAAAATAGACTCCAAAACAGAAAATTGAAAATGAACTCAAAACTGAAAACGGAAACATAAATCAAATGAGCCCTAAGGGCATGTTCTCTTTACCGTTTTCAATCCGTTCCCTGTTTTCGATTTTTCAAAATGGTGAAAACGCGTTCTCTTTTCTATTTTCAAAAACAAAGCAAGTTAAAAATTTGCAAAGAAAACCAAAACGACAAATTTTGTCATTTTGGGTGTTTTAAGTTACAATCAAGCTAAAATTTTCAAAACGCGTTTTGGGTGTTTTCAGTTTAACGTCACTCCAACCACCACCAAAGCCGCTGTTCGTGAGATTCCGCAAGTGTACGGAT